TTTGAATACGTTTATGTTCTGGGCCCCTGTAGGGTAAATACAAACCTGGTTATGATGAACATCTCAGTTTAGTGGAGACAGAGACAGATAGCTAAAATATCGATGGTTACATATTACAGAAGAGGTGTTTACAATACTGTAGTGCAATACAAGAAATCCACAGTTGAAAGTGGGTAAGAAAAGGCTTTAGAACAAGTGACACTGTTAGCTTCTATAAGGTTGGAGAAGAGCCTGCCAATTTGGCTAGGTAGGTGTGATGGTTTATCTTGGTTGTCAACTTGACACAACTGGGAACAAAGAACCTCAACTGAAGAACTGCCTCTATCAAATTGAATGTGGACTTGTCTGTAAGGACATATTATCAACTTCTAATTAATGTAAGAGGTTCTAGCCCACTGTGCGCAGTATCATCCCTAGACAGATGGGCCTGGGCTGTTTAAGAACTGTTACTGATCATGAGTATGGAATCAAGCCAGTAACTAGCATTCCTCCATGGTCTCTGCTTTAGTTCCTGCCTTCAGGCTTCTACCTTGAATTCCTGCATTGACTTCCCATAACGATGAACTATGACTTCAAAGTGCAAGGTGATATAATGTCTTCCTTCTCCAAACTGCTTTAGCTCAGAGGCACTTATTACAACAGAAAGCTAACTTGGATAGTGGGGACAGGAACTCCAGGCAGAGGGAGTGATGCATCATGTACGAGACCAATGCAACTGAGACAAGAAGCTTTTTTTTTTTTATCTGGGGAGCAGAAAATATTGACTATGAAGGAGAGTGAAAGCATGTAGGGACCCGGTGTAAACTTTCATTACGGTAAAGAGGCTGGGTTTACAGAGGAGAACAGCAGACACTGGGTAGGCATGGAGCCTGGGGGGTGATGAGATGATACTGGGACTCAGAAAGAAATTTCCACATGGTGAAATTATTATTATGAGGGGAGATAAGATTGCAGGCAGAAAGACCAGTTAAGAGGCTATGGCTGGAGTTTTTTAAGATTTAGACCTGAACTTAAGCAGTGTTTCTCCCCAACTGCCTTTCTCTCTCTCTCTCTCTCTCTCTCTCTCTCTCTCTCTCTCTCTCTCTCTGTGTGTGTGTGTGTGTTGCAGGAACTTTAGAAAGTACAACTGACTGTGTGAGTTGAAACCCTGGATGTTTCATGAATAATATGAGAATAGTTTATGAATGTCAAACGACTGCTAGAATCCTAGCTGCTGTCATTTACTGAGCTGAGGAAATAAAGGGAAAATAAGTTAGAGGGACAACATGAGCATAAGTGGTTTAGTTGTGGACATTCGGTATCTTGAGTATCCTGTGGAATGAAGAGCCAGGGGTTTTCAGGAGGCATCTGTAGGTGAGTGTCTGGACCACTGAAACCAGATGCAGGACTTTCAGGTTAGCATATTTACATTATCACTCTGTAACCCTCACAAAGGCTATGACCAGAGAGTGACAGTGCCTTCCCAACTGCCTCTTCCAAGAGCAGATGAAAGGCTGGTACTCCCAGTGTGGAATGTGGAGCTCAAATCAACAACAATGTTGCCATGTAGTTGTCAGCAAGTGTATTGTGTTCCTCACAAAATACATTTCAAGGGGAAAAGAACTTTCACTGTATCTTAAAGAACAGAAGCAATGGTATTCCTGGAGAACCATATGGGAGAGGAAACGTGGGGCAGACACCAAACTTTTTTTATGAGGTATTTAAACAACCTCACGTTCCCCTTCTGTAAAAAGCTGTCTTTCTGATGTTCCAGCCGAGCAGCATGCATTTTAATAGGTATTATTATCAATGTCAAAGTCAAAGTGTTTGAAACAAATTTGAATCAGGAAAACAATCCGAAGATAGAGGAGAAAGTTGAAGTGACATTACTGCTAATTTGGGTCCAACATGACAATGTGTCTTCATACCTGATACTTCAGAGACATAATTTCATGTATGGCAGATGCCCATTCTTGTTGACAATTTCTGCTAAGCAAACGATGGGAACAACATATCCATTGGCTACAGGAGTGTTAATAATGATTACAAACGTACAGGGAGGCATTTCATACACTTCCTTGGCAGAACTCACATGGATGGAGAATTGGTGAGGACCTGACTTCCTAGAAAGCACCTTGCCTTCAATTGTTTCATGCTTTGGAACACTTTTATGGGAATAATGCTGTCACTTGGTGCAAAAGACACTGCAGAATTGTGCTTTTTAATGAAACTAGGTTGTTATGAGTTCTGTCCCCAGAGTCCTGCAGGAGAAGAAGGCAAAGTTCCTAGTGAAGAAACTTCAGGAAGGTGCTAAGTTACTGTTGTACACTTGCTTGGCTTAACAACACAGTGCTAATTCTTGACCAAGCCACTCTGGGAGATTTGGTTCCACCCTCTGGGAGGAGAGATGGTTTGTAGTCTGGTGGAGGTGAAGTGTGCTGTAGTGTGCAAAGGAATGAGCCAACATGCTTCACTCCAACATGTTCACTGGGGAGATCATTTGACTGGGGAGATCATTTGAAAGATAAGAGGGAGGAAGAATGTCTAGAGACTACGTATTTGGGAAGACCTCTTTCTCTTCCCACGAGGGAGATTCATAGTGGAAGGATGCTGAGACTTCCCACAGTGAAGAGAACTTTCAAATTTTGTCTGAACATTTCTAAAATACATCTCACCTCAGACTCTATTTTCATGCCTATTACCAATCGATTGAACTGAGGGATTTCTATAACTCATTTTAGGAAATACAGCTAGAGGCAAATTACATGAGGAGGAGAGAAAACATTGGATTTTTTTTTCCCTGTGAGTATATTTGATCAAGTTAAAATGCCTTTGCAAAACTGAGTATGATGGCGAAAACCTGTAATCCTAGCACTTGGGAGGTGGAGACACGAAGATCAGCAATTGAAGGTGATCATCAGCTACATGGAAAGTTCAAAGCCAGTCTGGAATAACAGGAGACTTTGTTCCAAAACGGCAGCAGCAGCAGAAGCAGCAGAATCATCATCATCATCATCATCATCATCATCATCATCATCATCAGCAGCAGCAGCAGCAGCAGCAGCAGCAGCAGCAACAACAACAACAACAACAACGACAGACTTCTTTAATCTCTGGCCTTTGTTGTTGTTGTTGTTGTTGCTGTTGTTGAAATAGAGTGTTGCTGTGTAATGGAGGTTGGGCTCAAACTTGTATTCCTCCTATCTTATCCTGGGAGTGCTGAGATTCTAGGCATAAGCTACCACCTCTGACCTGGTTGTAGTTACCAAAATCTTTTCTAGAATGCCAAAGTTCACTGAACTCTGAACTGACGTCTAGAGTAAAAGAAAAAAATAAATCAATGAAACAGACAGCAAGTTGTCTCCGTGAGTAAAAGTGCTTGTCACCAAGCCCGATGACCTGAGTTTGAGCTCCAGAACTCATATACTGGAGGGAGAGAATTAATGTCTAGAATTACGCCTTCATTTATGTGATCTCTCTCTCTCTCTCTCTCTCTCTCTCTCTCTCTCTCTCTCACACACACACACACACACACACACACACACACACACACACACACACATGTTTAAAGGACTCATAAATTCACTGGAATGTTATTTGGCCATAGAATATTAAAATTCTAACATCCATGGGAACATAAATTAATGCATAGTATATTAATGTTAAGTGAAACAAGCTATCCATACCAAGACTGCACGATCTCATCAGTATATGGAATGTAAAAGAGTTGATATTGTAGAAGCACAGAACAGAACGGTAGTTATTGGAGGCTGAGGAAGAGGGGAAAGTGGGAAGGGTGGGAGCGGTTGGCCAACAAAAACAATGTTGCAGTTGGATAGAAGCAAGAAGTTCTGATGATCTGTTATACAATAGGAAGACTACAGATGAGAATAGCACATTGTACAGTTTACACTGGCTAGAACCGTTTCTGCATGTTTCACCACAAAGTAATGAGAAATACTTGTATTGATGAGGATGCTAACTATGCAGATTTGATCATTGTACTTTGTGTGTTCATATATCATAACTTCACCTTGTACCTCCAAGATTTGTATACATTTTATATGTGCAACTATTTGTTAAAAAACAAAAAAAATGAAAAAAGATGAATTCTTCGTTTCATGACTGAGAATCACGAACAAGTTTAGGCCTCCATAATGGATCTTGAGATGGACAAAGTTAAGGCACACTGATGCAAAATGCAGTTTCTGACCTACGAAAAATTGCATGAATTATCTGTCCTCCCTCTGCCCTCCTTCCCTCCTTTTTTGCTTTTGCTCCATTTAGACAGGGTCTCACTGTGTAGCCAAGGCTCTTCTCAAGCTCACGAGCCTCCTGCCTCAGCCTCCCAAGTGTGTCACATCATCTAGCTGCTGTTTGTTTCCTCTCCTCTATTTCCACTATCATTCTAAAGCCATTTAGGAAGTGAAAATATTCCAAAGGAGGTCTTCACAGCAGGAAGGAAAGGCACAGACTTTACCTGCCTAGAGACTGTGGACTTCTGGACAAAGGGCAATAAGCTTCCTTCTACACCCAAAATGGAGCACAGGCATTTCCAATCAATCCCCGCCTCAATCCCTAAATTGGTCTAGTAGGCTAGCTGACTATAATCTTGCCCCAAGCCAATTACTCTGTCCTAGTGTCCTGATGTATTAAGACACCTTTGTCTCCTTTGCCTTGAGCTTGACTTACAGTTGTCAAGTTAATTTTGTGGTTGCGAGCTCTTAGGAATAGTCTTGCGTTTTCACTTGTCTTGTGACTGCCACTCTTTTGAATGCTACAAAAAGTACTCAGACATACATTTTTTTATGGAGTCACCACAAGGCTCTCTCTGTCTCTGTTAAATCTCTATCTCTTCTCATGTACTTTGTGTTGAAGGAAGAACTTTCTCCTACCCCAGACCCTTTGGGTAGATCTGCAGCGAGCTCTACTATCCCATCGAGAGATACTGATGAAATTGCGCATGGAAAATAGAACAAAAAGAAGGCAGAAAGAAGGCAAAAAAGAGATGTGAGTCTTACGTGGAGAAGGCGTTGTTCTGTTTTTCACACCGGATCCCCTTGCAGTTGTTAGGTTCATCAATAGCTCTGGTCTCATAGTAAAAATAAAGCTGGTTCAGTCCATTGGCAAAAGCCAGCAGTACTAGGCAGTAGATAAAGAGGAATTTGAGTATATCAAGCAGCATGCGTCCCAAAGAGATCTGTAGAGGCCCTAAGTGGGAGTTGGCTGTGAACAAGGATATGAGACGCAAGGAACTTAAAATGTTGGATATTGCGAAGAGCGCCTCTGCAATCAGAGTCGGGTGCCACATTTCCCATTCCTCCCTTGGACGAGAACCATTATACTGAAAAAGAAAAAATAACAACAGAAGTGCACAATATGAGAAGTACAGTGAGCATTTCCAAATCTTCCTCTTTGTACCCTGCCACACACAAAACATGCACCCGACACCCAGCTTACATAAAATTCCCCGTGCATGGCACTATTTGTTTGTCGTTTTTGCCCCATTCAATCAGTACACAGTGCTAATAACTCTCTCCCTCCTACTCTTATCCAAATATATACCAAGCATATATACATAGCAGAAGGAATTTCAGAGCCATCATCTGCAGCAGCCACCTGGGGTTTATCAACAGACATTTCTAACTGTGAGTTTACCAGATTGTTGTTGTGTGCTGCTGAAAAGGAGCCACTGGGGTGCTCAAGCTAGTAGGGACCAATTATTCCTCTTCTTGGTGAGATTTCAATTCAGATCTATGCTCCCCCCTCATTGACTCGAACACATGGTCAATTTGAAGTTACTGAAGGACAATAGATAGATACGACCTCCTCAGTGTTCATTCTCGAGACTCTGCTGCCTACAGTTTAGGGCTGATAGCGAGTCCTTAGGGAGCCTTTCTTCAGAGCTTTCTGCTGCATTTTTAGCAGTTTGTAATATATTCTGCACCATTGCAAATGGCATGTCAACCTTCCAGGTAACAAATTTAGTACTTCTCTACATAGCAGCATATGGATGTATTTTGCTGTTTCTTTAACAACCTTACAAGTTAGAAAGGCCTTCCAGTGCAAATGAAGAACCAGGAAGTTGAAGGAGAGGGAATAGCCAGTATTTATAGGGTTGGTTGCGCATTTCCAGCCTCTTGAAGGCCTCTAGCTTCTGAAATGTGGAGAATAGCCTCATAGAAAAGTGTGAGATGGTGAAGTCTGGACTCCAGTTTGGAAACGGTCACTTAAAACTGTAATTTTACCTTCACAATAAAAGGCGACTAATGCCACCCCTTCCTGCTGTATTGTTCGTGGTACTGTGTTTATGTGCAAGAGTCTCTATACTCCATAAGGTAGGATGGTATGGAAATATAACGGACTAATTGTTAACCCTTCCCAAGGACAGAGGTGGGTTTTGCCTGGAATTCAATCTGAAGCATCATTACTTTATACTCTCATTTAAATATCCCAGATTTCTCTAGGACTAAATGTAGACGACTTTCCTGAGAAACTGTGTTGGGGCCCAAATTATCTTGTATTTCTCAAGTGTGCTTCACTTCCAACAACCAATAAAACTGATGGTGTTAAAATCACGTGTGTATGGCCAATATTCTTCATTGTCAGAGGAATAAGAGAGACCATGCCACATGTGTGCTTCTATTTCACATAGTCTTTTTGGTGACTGAACAAGTTTGCATAATCATAGCCAAATTTTCCACATTTTCCTTCAAAGAAAAAAAGCAGGCTAAAAACAGTCGCTGCATCGCTGTGAGCAAGTGGGTGGTATGCTGGTCTCACAAATGGAGAAGCTGAAATCCAGAGAGGCAGAGTGACTTGCTAAAGATCACACAGCAAATTTGCTGATAAAGCCAGAACCCCACATAGCTCTACATTAAGTCTAGCACTGTTTCCATAAAATGTCATTCACATGGGGGTTGATCTCACAACACAGATGTTACAAAGGTTGTCACACATTTTGAGGTCTATGTGAGAGGTGGAGATAATTTGCTGACAACCAAACAGCGCTCATGTTTTAAAATGAGAAATAATCAGATGGCATATGTACAGCCTATAATTTATTTTACTTTTATTCTGTCTCTCCAGCACAGAGAAATCTGTTACCCACAGGACGACGAATTTGAGTGTGCAGGATGCTCAGAAGCATGAAAGACAATTCTCCCGAGACATCTCTAGTTTGCATCTTATATCTCTGAAGAACAGCACCTTAGCAGGTGGATGAAAGGAAATTAGCTCAGAGTTCGTCTAGCCCAGATGTCAACAGCATTTTTCAGTCAAGTGTCAGATAGTGCATAGTTTCAGCTTTGCCAACTGAGGGTCTCCGTCACAACTTTCTAACATTTGCTTCCTTTGTAGCACCAAAATGGCCAAAGACTGTACATAGGCAAATGTATGTGCTAGTGGGTCAAGTTTGGTCCATGGACCATAGCTTCATAACCCATATTAATTTTGTAATATTGTATTGTAAATTTTAAATTGTAATTTTTAATTACATCTAATATTGTAAATTTTAAACTGTATTTCTTAGACTCTCAGGGCTTAATGGAGGCATCTCATGGCTGTTGTTGGAATCACAAAAGATGACTAGATGATAAATTGCTCATGCCGAACTTAGCCCTTTGGGCTGTTTTATATACTGCAGTTCTGTGTAATCTCTGCTTGATGAAATGTTTCCATAGAACACAAAACTTGAAAATTACTAATGAAGTTTAATTTTCTGATTTATCAGAGGCAGGATTGAGGCTCTCAGAGGCAGAGGGATTGGATGGTGGTGATTTAGCTCACAAGTGTGAGAAGGGACCAGATCCATGTGTCCAGAAGCTAGATTACTGATTCTGGGTAGTAAATGACTTTCCTTATATTCTTTGAAATGGATTGGCGTTTGAAGCTTGGCCTCACTGTTTTTTTCCAAAAGAGGTGTGAATTACAATCTGTTAATCCAAAAGTAAAATCTGAAGAGGAATAGCCTGACATGGGAACTTGACGATGGTGTGAACATGGAGAGGTGTTTGTATCTACAGTAAAGTAATTGTTGGAGAAATACCCACAACTCAGTAAAGTCCAGATTCAGTCTGTGTCTGGGTCATGGTGGAGGAGGGATAGACCTAAGTGATATGCTAGAAGCTGAAATGCTGATACGCCTCCATTTGAAGGGTTGTGTGGGTACCGAAGGTCAAGCATATGTAGCGTTGTTCTCTTGGGTTACGTTGGTGAACGTCTTTTGGTTCTTGTTGCTTTAATCCCTGTGAGGTGAAGTATGTGTTGTTAATGATTTTTTTCTCTAATAAATAAAAAAAATCTGGATCTGGGAAATGGTTTAGTGGGTAAAGTGCTTACTGTGAAAGCAAGAGAACCCGCGTTCAGATCCCTAGCAGTCATGCCAAAGCCAAATGCAGTGGTACAACCCTGCTGCTTAGGAGGAGGGTAGAGACAGATAGATCCCAAGGATGTGCTGGCCTACCCTGCTAGTTGAAATAGTGGGTTTCAGGTTCAGGGAGACACCCTGTCTCAAAAAATAAGGCGGAGAACCATCGAGGAAGACATTCAATAACATCCATTCACAAATGTGGACACACACACACACACACACACACACACAATTAAAAATAAATTAATTAATAAATTAAGGAATTTTAAAATGCTGATTCATCTAATTTCAATACCATTCTGCATTGACTCCAAACAACAGTGATTTGAAGTTTTCTAAGGGGTCTTTAGATTGTATTTTGTAACTTTTTTTTTCAAGACAAGGTTTCTCTGTGTAGTCCAGGCTATCCTGGAACTCACTCTAGACCAGGCTGATCTCAAACTCACACAGATCTGCCTTCCTCTGCCTTCTGAGTGCTGGAACCAAAGGTGTGCACCATCACTACTGGGTGTGACTTCAGTCTTAATGGTTGTCTCATCCTGTTCAGGGAATCTCTAAACTGGTTGCATTTTTGTGGATGAGAGGACCACACTCTTTCCCCTTACAAGTTCTCATTTAAAATATCCAAATTCTGGGGGCTAGAGAGATGGATCAGTGGTTAAGACTACTCGCTGCTCTTGGAGAAGACTTGCATTCAATTCTCAACACCCACATGGTGGCTCATAACTAATTGCCTGTAATTCCAAGTTTAGAGAATAGGACCACCTCTTCTAACCTTTATAGTCACTAAACATATGCACACAGAACACTCATACACATAAATATGTTTTAAAAATCCAAATTCAGGCTGGGTGTGGTGGTACATGCCTTTAATCCCAGCACTCAAGAGGCAGAAGCAGGCAGAACACTGTGATTCAAGGCTAGCCTGGTCTACAAAGCAAGTTTCTGGAAAGGTAGGGCTGTTACACAGAGAAACCCTGTCTTGAAATAAAAAATCCAAATTCTGCATGTGACATCTCTTATTTATGTTTCCTTAGAGTGGTAAGAGGCAGAATTTATTGGCTTAGCAGAGTGAGTTTAGTATACTTTGTGATCGAGAAGTATTTAGCTCTTTGGAAGCTTTACCAGTGAAATTGGGAAGATGGTATGATTAGCTGATGCTGAGCATCTGAAGACACATTTTAATACCCCAGATAGAAATGATTTTTTCATCAAGCATTCTAAACTTTCCTGTTTAAACAAAACCTAGCAATTTCAAGATTTATAAGTTATAGTTTCTCTGCTTCTTAAGGAAATACAAAATTATAATATTTTTATTAATTTTATACATGCATACAATGTATTTTTTAAGGGAAAACTGTATGACTTAGCTAAAGAGTGCCATGGAGTTAACCCATTCACAGTTAACTAGAGAGTTAAACATTGTCTTCACCAGGCTTTTTCTTCTAAGAAAGTTGTAAGGATGTGTTAAATGATCACCACACGCATAAGGCATACTCTTGGGCTCCTTTCAAAAATGTTTCATGAATGCATTCAATATTCATGCTCTATATAACTCTCAAGGTCTTGCAATTTATGCAATATGCATATTAGGGATATAAAAATAAACTAAGTTGTTGGAGACTTGGGGGACAGCCATATTCCCATTCTCAAAGTCCTCAAAGTAAAATTTAGTATCAAAAGCATGACTGACTAGACATCTTGGGGAATGAATTGTCAGCCTTTCCTGCTGGGGAAAAAAACTCAACTCTAGGTAGAAGGAGCACAGCCACACATTGTGTTAAGTACCAGACCTGAACTAAGACCTGTGATTATCCTCAAATACAGGGACTTGTGAAGAGGTGCCTGGAACTTTCTTTCCTTCACCCTTGTCTCATTTGGCTTGGGGAAGGTCATCTTTCATGGGCTGTATCTCTGGGAACGAGCAACCAGACATTACCCACTTACAGATCTCATTAAAAATTGAAACTGTGCACATTTTCAAACAATTTTCTGGATAACTTAAGGTGCTCATGCGCAGGGAAAAGATCAAAGTGAAGGGGTGTGCACAGAGTTTACATTTTCTGAGCTGGTAGAGGGATGCAGGTTGGGTGATACTGAAAATCTGGAATTTGTAACTGATCAAATGCTTATCCTGACAGAAAAAGTAATAAAGAAAGCAGAGGCTACTGTAGACCTATGTGCCACACAGCTTCGGGAGTTCTGCTGCTTGTCATAGGAAGAATGGTGAAGGAGGTGGTGATGTTTGGCTTTGCGAACCAATGACTCCGAAGGTAAAGGAGAGCTGACCCTACCTATTCCAGAAGTACAACTATAGAGGGGAAACAGCTTTATTCCGTATGTCTCCACGGGGAGGAGGAGTTACCAATGAATATGGCATGGGAAATGTTAATCACATATGCAATAACTGGTTTTACTAAAGGGAAAACAGTTAGAGGCTTTTTGGAGGAAATGGATTTAGTGAATTTCCTGGTACTACCCTGTACTATATCAGCGTGCCAGCTCGTTCAAAAGAACGTTATTGATGTTTAAGCACTGAAGGGTGAAGACACCTCTACCATGAAGTCTGAGAAGCTTAAGGATTCACCTGAAAACATGTTCTGTTCTCCACTGGCTTTGCTTAAGTAGACCCTACTTACAGACTATTGAGTCTCTGTCGTATTTTCTAACATTGATGGAACACTCATTTATTTTTCCCATTAACACTTCTGGCTACAAGTTTAAAAGTTTATTGACATAACACATCCAAAATAATTGAGGAAGAAAAATGCTACACATTTCATTTTTACCTTGACATAGGCCACAATCTTCAAGGAAATAGTTGCCAGGTAGAGGGAGTTCATTGCAAAATCCATTAAGTTCCACCAATCATGGATGTATTCCGTGAATCCACCATCCCACATTTCCTTTATCTCCCCCCAAATGAAACCTGAAGAATGGAGGCAATAAGTTTATTTATTACTTTATCAAGGCAGTGTTGAGCATCACAACAGGAGTACCCCAAGTGAATAAGGAGGAGATTCATGAGTGAACTTGACTGAGTGGGTGAGACTCTGAGAGGTGGAGACCACTTAGCTCTTTTTTTGTCAACTCGACCTCCCAAGTTTGAATTTATCAAACTTACTATGCTTTTCACTCCTCTGGGCACTCTTCACTTTTATTTTTCAAAATTTACATATGAAGTCTTAGGTTTCATGGTGGCATTTTGAGACATAAAGCACAATTTGCTTTTGCTGTTCCTAACCCCGCTTCTCACTCACCTCCCTTCCTCCTTTACCCTTCTACTCCTTTCCGCTTTCAAGTCCCATGCATTCTAGTTCCTCTTCCTCACTACCCCCTTTTCTCGCATGATCTTCTTTCTATTTTTATGACCTATATTCACACTCAACACTCATATATTTATCTGTCCATTAAAAGTAAGGATCTTCATATAAAAGAACATGAGGTACTTATCTTTCTTAGTCTAGGTAGCCTCATTCAATGGAATATTTCTGGGATCCACCTATTTCCTTTAGAGCTTTCAATTTTATTATCCTTAACAACTGAATTAACTTCCATTATGTGTGTGTATCCTGTTTTTAATTATCTATTCATCTGTCAATGGGCATCTAGGCTGGTTCTAGTTCCTTGCTGTTGCCAATAGTACAGTAATAAACACAGAGTGCAAGTGTAATTGTGGCTATGGTGGGATAGTGGGTCCTTGGGTACCTGAGCCAGGCATACTACAGTTTCATGAGAAACTACCACACTGATTTCCACATTGCCTGCTTAAGTCTCTCACCAACAGCCAACGAGGCTTCATCTTTTCCCACACCCTTGCCAGTACATGGCATCCCTTACTTTCATGATGATAGCCATTATGAGTAGGATGAGAGAAAATTTCAAAGTAGTTTTAATTTTTATTTCTCTGATGGCTAAGAAAGATGACTACTTCTTGAAATATTTATCATCCACTTTGTCCTTAATTGGATGCTATTTCAATTTTGTCTTAAAGTTGATTTAGCTACTGAAATTTAAGGCGCTGTACTCTACAGTTTTCCCATTTGGGAGTGTACTTGGCTTCATCAGTATTATTCCATGGTCCTTACTTTCCACTGGGTGCTAAGGAGAAAGGCTCTCCATGAGTTTTGAGGTGAGTAAGTCGACCAGGGACCAAATTGCCAGATGTAAGTAGTGAATCTAGGCATTGTGGCCCCAAATAATTTAGGATCCTATTTTCTCTGTGTTCCTTTCATTATGTTGGTATTTTGTGGAGTTTTGCCTGATGACAGAGATATTTCAGTAAAAGTGTGTGGTTTTGGTCAAGCTTGTCACTTACCAGACTTTACATATGAACCTCTAAGGGGATGCTGTTAACTTCCAGAACCAGGGTAGCACTTAAGATCTCTCCGAGAAAATCCCAAGTGAAGCTCATAATGCTAGCTTGGGGTTCATAGTTTGGTGATCAAAGACTTAGAAGATGTCATGTGCTTGATGGTCTGGTAACATCGAATTAGGCCTAGAGACATAAGTATATCAACTTCACTGTTGCCAGTGGAATTTCCCAGGTTTCTCTGCTGACTGTGGGATCAGTATCCCAATAGCACATGGAGCCTGAACAGGTGCTAGGATGGTGTGAAGTGGACACAATCACAAGAAATCAGCAGAATCCATGTGCCTCCTGGTTATGGGAAAGGGCGCTTTAGGAAGACTGCTCAGTGCTTGCCTTATCCAGTTTACCTGAAGCCTATATGGACCAACACAAAGCTTTCTCCCCTAAACCACAACAGCCAGTTTCCCTCCATCCTAAGAGATGTTATGTGAGCAGATGCAAACACTGAGAACATGCCTGGTCTCCAGTGGCCCATGCATAATTGAGTGATCAGAACCTAGGAAAGAAGGAGCCACATTTCTTAGATTCTCAACAAAGGCCTACTGGAGGAGTTCCTAGGTCAGAGCTACTCTGAGCGCATGTTCCAGGATTTTTTTTTTTAAAGGAGGACTAGAAGACAGCCTGGTCATTATTGTTGTTCTGTTTCACACACCTAGAACCCAAGGCAGAATCATCCATTCCACTATAGTTGGGGGAGGCCCTTGTACATGGAGGTCTGTCCTGACGATATGCTGAGAGGCCAGGAGAAGCATGAAGAGGAAGGTCAGATAGGAAGCTGTGTGGCAGATGAACTTGATAAAGGGCTTCTTGATGAAGAGGCCAAGGTTGCTTCTGGGTGAGATGAGATAGGCAATAGACAGCATAGGGAACAGGAAGCCAATGGTCATACAGGTCAGAAGCTTGACTACCCAGTGCTTTCTCCGCCATCCAGGGAAGCCATCATACCACAAGGTGGCAAGCAATTGTTGGCAGTTTGGCTGAGCGACAAACTAGAGGAAAAAAAAAAGGAGACAGAGAGAGCAAACACGTTAGGCACCTAAGATGTTCAGGAAAAAGTCATCGTTCATAATACTTATGCACAGTCTTCTCCAGCAAGAGACTATGTAACTAATCACAGTGAAGGCTGAAAATCATGAAAAGCACATTGAAAAATTTAATTCCCAGGTCCATTCCTGATGGAGTCTTTAAGGTGTGGAGAGATAGTGCCTGGACATCAGTTTTCTAAATTTTCCTGGGAATATGCATGCCTCTCAGCTGAGAATCATGGGGATTTTTATTTCAGACTGATTTGCTTCTACGTATTCCCATCACCTACATGCGGTCACCATCAAGTGTGCAGTTGGTTTGCGGAAACACAAACTACCAGAGAATAAGCCGTGCCTGTGGCTATGGTTTGAAATGGAAATTAGTCCCCTTTTTAATTTTGCCTTTTTCCCATTTTGTTTTGGTTTGCAACAAATCGTGTTGCTACTTTGCTATCTACTTAATACCCCTTCTAGCCTAGATATACAACACGGGAAAAATATTTGGGGGCCAACACTATAATATTGTATACTAACCCAGCTGGGATTTGACTTAAGGCAATTTACAAAGTGTCAGTGATTAATAATTAAGGAATAATCAGCAAGGCAAGTCACCCTGCAGCTGCTACTTCCTGGTAAGTGACTCAGTAGGGAGCTCAGCTGTCAACCATGATTTGAAATACTGCCTACATTTGACTAGTCAAGCTTCCCAGGGGGACAGATTAACATAGCTACACCGTGTAGCATGCTAGTAGAAAGGACAGAAACCTGTTCCACCATTTACCTAACACCTAAGGCAAACTATCCTAACTTTGCTATTACATTTACAATGATCAGAAATTCTCAGTTGAATCAGTCTCCGTGAACACATGGGTAGACTATTTCTCAGCATTCCTGGCCATGTGACTAAATCCTCATTAATGAAGTAGGAATAGAAATGATGTGTAACAGTTGAAGGATTGGCCCATAGATGGTGTCCATTTGTTCCTCCCCGACCTTACCCCATTTGGGGGCTTTTGTGAGCTCATGCCCCTCTTTATCCATGAGGAAGAGAACTATCATGCTGACCAAGAATATTTATATTGAACCATTACATGCATGAGAAAATTCTATTGTTTTTAAGCCACCATATTTTTAGGTTTAAAGCAGATGAAAATTATGAAACTATGAAAAATAATCTTTTTATCTCTATGACTGAAGAGACGGCTCAGGGTTTAAGAACATTTGTTGCTCTTGCAGAGGACCTGGGTTCAGTTCCAAGCCTCAACGTGGCAACTCACAACCATTTGTAACTCTGGTTCTAGAGGATTCAGTGTTCTCTTCTCACCTCTGTGGGCACCAGGCACATATGTGGCACACATATACACACAAAGGCAAAGCACTCTCACACACAATATATCAAATGCTTTCTAATTTCCAAAATATTTTTATTCTCTGACCTCGTTTCACCCAAATACATTTATAATTTCTATTATGTACCTATAACTCCTTTCCACAATTCATAACAAAATCAAATAGATCCTTTTTACTTTTCTAGGCATCAGAGACTATGCTAAAGAAACCCAAAAAGATATAGGAAAATTGGAGGGTAAAGCTAGAACTTCAGATGCAATGAGAAAAATCGAGAATATTTAGTCTCGCGAGGACCACAGTGTATGAAGAGTGGGATGCCTTTTTTTTTTAAAAGCTTTTAGTTTATTAGTTCTCTCTTTAGAAATGTGCCCCACCATGACAGACTAAGCCACTGCAGGATTTTAGTCCTCTTGCTTTTTGCTGGCTCTCATGTTGGCCTTCACAAATGCCTCATCCACGACATTTTTTCAACATGACTTTGTGTTCCTTGCACTGTTCTTTTTTTTTTTCTCAAATAGATCATGTCTTACAAGTCTGTATTTGGGCACATTCTGCTTGCATACTTAAAGGATTCATAAATCAGGCCAAGGCCAGTTGTCTTACCACCACCATAATGGGTTCTGAATCCAAATGCAACAATGACATCTGGTATGGTCTTATGTACTTTGGCTAGCAGTGGCCAAATTTCTTTCTTCAGTGCTGTTGGTTTCCCAGAGTGAAGGACATAGACGACCATTTGTTTCTTCTGAGGTAGATGGTTGGTCATGAATTTCCTGATCTTGACAATTACAGGGTCATTCATGGTGGTTGTTGTCCTCAAACAGCCAAGGAGGAAAGGGGGACATTTTTGTGATGGGCAACAACATGAATGTGCAAGGAAAGACTACCCTCCCAAGGCAGTTTTACAACCGTGCAGCACAGGAACTGGAAGGAGTATGGACAAGGCATTAAAGGGAATACAAATGAGGCTTCTGAAGCATGGGGAAGTACCTGAGTGGAGTATAAAGGATGCATAGAAGATGGCTAGATACAGAAGAGAGGGAACAGGAGAAAACAACAAAGGCAGAGTGGATGACATAACCAAAGACATAGAAAGAGGTAAAGAAGAATGTGGCTCATTTTGGGAGCAGTCTTGGTGTGGCTGCGGCTTGTACTGTGAGGCTGTAAGTGACAAAAAATGAGACTGGGGGTAGGGAGGGGTTAAACAGCATATCAAATGATCTAATCTTGAGACACCATAAATAATGCAGACTAGCATTAAGAGCAATGGGGAAACATAAGCAGTCTAAGTATGTGTATGGACACACTGGCATGCATGTTTGCATGTTTCTATAACAGTTTGTAGAACAGAATACTGGTATCATTTTCATTTTACAGATAATGACAATGACACCAAGATACATTTGTTGGTAGAAGGTAAGCTAGAACTGATACCCTAGTCTGGATGACTTTATGGACTTAGCTCACAAATACTGAGTACTCTGAGACTCCTTGGGTAATGTGGTATGAGACAGAGAAAACTGGATTTCCTCTTATCTTGCTCGTAGACCTTGCCACACTGATAGAAATGCCCATATCACTTACTGCTGTGGGAGAAGCATCAAAATTTTACTCACATATTTAGAAAGTAGAATATATGGAGCTATTAAATACTGTTAACAGTTTCCAGTTAGCATATTATCTTATCCAGTTAAGTGATCAGCCTTCCAGTAAATGCCAGAGTTGAGTGTAAAGTACAGCAAACATTAGTTTAGATTATAGTATTCTATAAAATATACTGGTTCAACTCCTGGCTCTGCTATGTATTAGTTATATAACTTTGAACATTACTAAAATTTTAAGTTAATCAGTATGGTATATCTTTTCGTTTATTTGGTCTTTATTTTCTTCTAACAATGACTTATAGTTTTTAGTTTACATGTCTTACACTTAATTCTTTAATTCTATTGGTTAGCACTTTATTAATTTCAACGCTATTTCTTTTCAAATTGAATTTTGGATTGTTTAGTGATACTGAATAGAAACTATTTAGAGATAAAACTTTAACAAATTTAGTTAAAGCACCGAGCTTTTAGTCATGATTCATAAATTGAGACAACCTGTATTCTACAACTTGAAAGGTTCCCACTAGACAATGGCAGAACAATGGATTACATAAAGGAGGGAGGGAGAAGAAAATAAAACAAAAAGAGAAAAGAGCAAATTGCTAACATCAGGTTACTTCTATTTACTTTTTGTGCTATCAAAGTACAGAGAACTTCATTGTTATGTGGACTCAGGTAGACTGAACCTCCTGTTGTCCAAAATGCTCATCTACTTTGAGTATTATTCGGATCCCTAAAGTGTTTGCTTGATTATGTGACAGCGTAAGTGACTATTTTGTTTTGGTCTGGTCTGTTGAAGCCTAGTTTCTGATCTCGTGTCTCCTCCATGGTTATTGTTCACTGATTTTGCATGTTGATCTTGTATGTTGTAGTTGTAACCATCTCACTTACTAGAACTAAGAGTTTTGGTTGTTGTTTATTCCTTAGGATTTTCACTTTACCACACTATGTCATCTATGAATAGAGTTTTAATTCTTCCTTTTTGAACTGGATGCTGGTTTGTTCTTTTTACCTAAATGAACTAATGTCTATCTCTAGTAAAGTGATGAAGTAGTGAGGGTGTGAATGTGTTTGTCTTAATTTAGATCTTGGGGCAAAAAGCCTTTCATAGTTTTCCATAGTTAGCTTTTATCTGGTTCTCCTCTAGTTACACTTTTCACATGTTTCAATCATGAAAGATTGCCGGATTTTATCAAGAGCTTTTCCTGTGTCCATCAACGAGATCTTATTTATGGGCCCTATTCTTCCCCCCACTACTACATTATATTGGTTGATTTTATGTTAAATTGTTTTCACATTTCTAGGATACATACCGTTTGGTTAGGTGTGTGATCCTTTTTATACATTGTTGCAATCAGATTGGTTTTGTTGTTTATTCTACTATGATCCCCAACTATTATGGTCTGCCTCAGGCAGCCTAGTTATTAAACAACTGTTGCTAATGTTTTCCAAAATGCCCTTGAAAGGGGCTGCTGGTGTAAGAAGGCAAGGACTGTGACTGACACATCTTTTTAGAGAGTTGCCTAACAGTCATACTGACAGTTCACTAGGGATAGGTTTATTCAGAGTGATCTATAAACACTCTGCTCACTCCAGTGGATGCCAGGTGCTGACTTTTTACAGATACTGTGGCAACAGGGATTTTGGCTTTCAATGTTGCTGTGGGCTGGGTAAACGAAGATGGGAATAGGATATGTTAAAATGCTGCAAACCTTGCTGTTCTTTCTGATACTCAGCTGGTTTCTTTGGATAAATTAATCTCTGATTGTTGGAAGCTTTTGATTCATGTCTAGAGTTTTTGGGAAAAAGTCAATTTTAAGGAAATTCTCAAGGTCTTGGTGCTATTTTGTAAGAGTGAATTTTCAGAAGTCCGGACTCTGCCATTCTGAAAGTGGTTTTTGTGACTTTTTAACTTGTCATGTGTGAGAATTGGGGAAAATGGTACATTTATTTCCCAATTCTTCTGTTCAGGAATATCAAAAGAAATAAATGAAACCAATAAAGCAAAGG